CGCTGGATGCATCTGATCCCCGGGGGCCGGCGGCTGCAGGGCAGGAGCCGAGACCTGGAGCAGCTGGAGTCCGAGGCCAAGGACGGGAGGCGCTCGCCCACCGCTACGGAGGAGGCCCCCCGGCGCGGGGCCCGCGATCACTTCCCCCGGTGGCGGCGGCGCAAGGGTTTACTGTGGGTGCCCGAGCGGGACTCGCCCAGCCACAGCTCGCCAGAGAGGAACAGTGACTGCAGCCACAACAGCTCAGACCACGAAGACGGCTCCTCTGCAGGTAGGCGCACCCCTTCCAAGATCCCCGATTTCGCGCACCCCCTGGGGGGGGGGGCTGCTGGTCACCCCATCCCAAGCACACCTTGTTGTGGTCCTGTTTAACCTCGGGCGCCTGGGAAGAAGGGAGATAAGATTTACCTGTTTACCTTGAAGCCACTTGTGGAACTTAAAAAAAAAAAAAGGCAGACACCTAGTGCAGAGTGATTTGGGCTTGGGTGAGTTCATAAAAATAAACATTATGAGGATGGCAGGGGTGCTGGAATGTGTGCTTGGCCAGACCATAGAGGAATCTTGCACTTAGGCCTCAGCCTTTCTGCTCTGTCTATTGCAACATCGTCCACTCTCACCCCTTCCAACTCACCCTCCACAGGTCGGCCAGATTCCTGTGCACCACACGGATAGGATCCTGCTCTGAGCAAACTGGTGGCTGCCATGTCCCCCAGATTCCTTGATGTGGAGGTCTCAATCTTCCACTTAATTTTCTGAATTTATCTCTCATCTCCTCCAGCCTGTATCGGTGTTCCCCTCAAATTGAAACAGGTTATCACTTGGTGCAAGGTACAGAATCCTCATTGGCCCCTCCCTGCCTTCGCTGACCGGCTCCCTTCCTAGAAGGATGCACTTGGTCTGTCAGCTTCCTAGGAGCTCGGAGCCCGAGGGAGAAGGGAAGGGTTAGAATCATCGAGTCTTCAAGCTGGCCCCGTGCCCAGAGGTCATGTCTAGGGCAGTGTCTTCACATGACAAAGGAGGAAACTGAAGCTCAAAAAGGTTAAGAGCTTGGTTGCTGTGCGCTGATGCCTCCACTTGGACCTCCTGTCACTCGTGGTTTCCCCTCACATCTGCCCTCTCTTCTGAGGACAGGACCTGGTCTTAGACAGTTTGCATCCCCTTGTGATGGTCAGCATGGTGTCTTGCACAGAGTAAGTGCTCCGTAAATATTTCTTGAATAAATGTCTGCAGCCACACAGGTCAGGGAGGAGGAAAGGACAGGGATGCAGGGTGGCCTGTGACTGCTCCTTTGCTGTCCCCTGGGGCGGTCAGGGTCTCCTCGACTACAGGGAAAGAATGAATTGGTGTCTGTCTAGCTGAGGCTGAGACCGGAACTTCAGATGCCTTCCTGCTAAGTGAAGGAAGAGGAAAAAAAAATCACTGATGCTGGGATTGTTCCAAACTTTCCATTATTAGATTTTATCTGGGTAAGTTTGCATTCGAATGAAAAACTGTCTACTTGGCTAAAAGCACATTTGGAAGGCCCATCAAGTCATCTGTTGTGATCAATTACACTTATTCATTAGCGGAGATTGGCTGCTCTTCCCATAGATCATGCTTTCGCCGCCCATGCTAGTACCGTTTTTTTTTTTTTTTTTATGTGCCCCTTTAACTTAAAGGAAGGGTCTGAAGATTGCACTCCAGTGCCAAGTTTCAGATGCCCTCAGTGGAGGCTACCCAAGCGGCCCAGCGCTGCTTCAGAGCTGGCTCCAATCCCATCTCCCCTCAGACCCGCATCAATCACCCTGCCCGGGGTGCCCAATGCACTGGATTTTCTCCAGGGAGTGACTTTCATTTCTTCGAACTGTCTCCTCTCTTCTTAAGGGCACTCTAGCCCAGAGAGCACTTCCACTACCAAAGGTGCCCCTTTGGGTGGATCAGTGATAAAAAAAAAAAAAAAAAAAGACTGCTTCCTGTGGACTGAAGACTCCAGCCAGGACGCATGTCTGGCACGCCTGGCTTTGGCTAGCGGTGCCTGGGCTGTAGTTCAGACACCTCTTCAGGGCAAGCTCTGCAGGGAACCCCTGCACCACTCACTGCATGGGAGGGCACTGCCTCCTGCCTCCAAAGCCTCCCCAGGGAGGAAGTGAATGGGGTGGACATGCACATGCATACATGCATGTGTACATGTATGCACATCCATACACTTCTGTACATGTGTACACATGTGCACACAGTCACATAAATGTTCATATTGGCACACAATCAAGGAGAAAGAGACCTCAGGCACACAGAGAGGCACTAGATCGGAGGGATTTACAGCAGGGGTTTTCACACTGTGGGTGACAGCCCACTGAAGTCCTGTGGTTCTCAGTGAAAGCATTGCCCGGCCTCCTTGGCCACCTGGGCCGTCCCTGCTTCATTTTTTCTCCATTGCGCTCACCAGTTACCACCTGGGATGCAACAATTTTGTATGAGGATCTTATTCGTCTTTCTCTCCGGTAAAACGCAAGCTCCAAGAGGGCAAGGATTTTTGTCTCTTTCTTTCACTGACATTGCCCCACAGCCTAAAACAGCATCTAACAGATATTAGATGTTCCATACATACTTGTTGAATGATCTGTGCAGGGTATACCCCCAAAATGTGTACACACTTTAAGAGCTGGCAGCTCAGTGTTGAAAATGAAATGTATTTTAATAAACACTGCCTTCATAATTATTCAAAGTGTGTGTATACATTTTGGGGGGGCACCCTCTATATTTTAAATGAGATGGAATAGAAAAGAAAGCATCAGAGTGTATTGCACATGGTCATGGTGAGTATTATTCTGTTTTAAACACTTTGTTTTGCCCAGCTGCTGTTGCTCAGTGGTTGAGCATTGTCCTATGAACCAGGAGGTCACAGGTTCAATTTCCGGTTGCAGGCTCCATCCCTGGTAGGGGGCGTGCAGGAGGCAGCCAATCAATGATTCTCTTTCATCATTGATGTTTCTGTTTCTCTCTTTCTCTCTCTCTCTCTTCCTTCCTCTCTGAAATTAATAAAAATATATACTCAAAACAAATATTTTAAAATTTTTCAGTTATGTATAAATGTGTGCATAGATACTGGTTCCTGATGTAAAATTATTTCTTGGTGTGGTTTGGACAGAAAGCTTTGAAAACGCTGATAAAGACCGTGGGCTCTGAAGCTAGATTGCTTGTATAACCTTGGGAGTTGTTTGAGTTTTCTGTGTCTCAGTTTCCTCTATAAAATGAGTGAGGCTGACAAACACTGCTTAGGTCATACTGTTGATATGAGGAATCCATGGAATGTTATTTCTGAAGGGCTTGGAACAGACCCCGGCGCATAGCAGACTTACCCAGTGTTCGCGAACCATGACCACAGGTGGTTTTCCTTGAGTCAGTGCTCCCACTTCCAGATCATCCTGAATCACAGGTGCTTTCTGTGATGCATGTGTTTTTCCTAGCCAGGCTCCGGCTCTTTCTGGTACCTTCCAGGCAGGAGGGCAGGACTCAGAGCACAGTGGTCATCTTAGCTCATGAGTCTCTCTTGCTGAATTGGCCCTCCTGTTGTTTCTCCCTCTCCACTAGCAATCATGCCCATTTCCTGTACTCAGAGATCCTTAACTGAAGGTCAGGTTTATTGGGCAATTCAAACTCTGCCTTCCTCTCAGGATCTCAAGGAGAAGGATTACATGAGACATCTTAAAGGCCCAGCAGGAAGGAAGGAAGGAAGGAAGGAAGGAAGGAAAATGGCCCAGAGCTCCCCACCCTGGAAGAGGGCTGCTTTCTCTTAGATGAAGGGCAGATCCTCATATCAAGACACATTTGGGGTTTTTTCCTACACATAACAGCCAAATCAGATTTTAAAGTAGTTAGAATGTCTTTTTTATTTTCCCTCAATATATGGAGAGATAGAAATATCAGTGATGAGAGAGAATCATTGATAGGCTGCCTCCTACATACCCCACACTGGGGATTGAGCTGGAAACCTGGGCATGTGCCCTGACCGGGAATGGAACCATGACCTCCTGGTTCATAGGTCAACACTCAACCACTGAGCCACACCAGCCAGGCAAATTGGCACTTTTAACTCTCAGCAAGTAATGCTGTCCTGGCCAGCTGTAGAATTCTAGATTTGTCAATGTGGGAAGCCCTGCTATCAGATTCTGCCAATCTGCCAATGAAGACTTCTTATTTTTTTGTTTTTAAATATATTTTACTGATCCTTCACAGAGAGGAAGGGAGAGAGATAGAGAGTTAGAAACATCGATCAGCTGCCTCCTGCACATCTCCCACTGGCGATGTGCCCACAACCCAGGTACATGCCCTTGACCGGAATCGAACCCGGGACCCTTCAGTCCGCAGGCCGATGCTCTATCCACTGAGCCAAACCGGTTTTGGCAAGACTTCTTATTTTTAATCTTTATGGGAAATGCATTTCCTGCTAGGTACTCATGTTACCTAGTTCATTTGTAATCTGGTGGGTTTTTTTTTTCCCCTTTCCCGTTAGTGACTAATGAGATTTTTGCTCCAGGGGGAAAAAAACACCAAAACCCCTTGTGTTCAGTGGATGTGTTTGAATAACTTAACTCAAAACTATTGAATTTTCCGCCTTAGCTGTGATAGAGTAATTTTTTTCCCATTCCCTGTTGTGGAGAAGACATTAAAGAACTCTTTGAGGCATATGCTGGTGGCTGGCTGTGATTCATTTATAACCGGAGTTGATACTGCGTCACTGTTTGCTTAGTTCTTCAATGCTGGCCTGTCTCCTCCCCTCGCCCCCACCACCTTAGCACCATCTACATCTCATGAACACTATGGTCAGTCAGAGGATGTGGGTGGGCTTACCAAGCTCTTCCTCCTCTACAACCAAGCCTGAAAACGTTTCTTCTTCTTAAGGGACTATTCATAAAGCAATGGACTCTGTCTTTGACACTGGATCTTTATGTGTTAAAGTCAGTATCGTCATGCATTTTCCTGGCTTTGGAATAATGGTACAAACACTCTCTGCATCTGAAAATTGGGCTTGATGTTCCCCAGCTTGCAGGGTTGTGAGGCTTACATTGGACAAGTTACTGACTTTCTCTAGGCCCCAGGTTTCCTATCTGCTGAGTGGGGGTGAAAATGATAGAACTGTGTATGTCAAACATGTCAAACTCGCGGCTCCGCAGGCCACAGGCCTTGTTTATTTGGCCTGTGTTAGCCTTTGAGTTTGACATGCTTGATGTATGTCATAGACTTGGGAAGCTTCAGTGAGATAATGTGTGTAAAGTGACCTAGCACAGGGGC